CTGGCACAGGAACAAAAAACTGTCAATAAATAGATTTAAGTTGACAGTTGTGCATATTGATGGCCAACAACGTAACAGCCACCCAACAGGTGCAAACAGGTTAATACCCTAATTCAAGACAGGGTGGGCAGTTAAGAAAAAGGGATTATATGATGGAGCATGGGTTATAGGGATCAATGGATTTGGTGATCTATGGACTTCTTATATTCTTTTAATTCATTCTGAGTTCAAAACAAGAATAGCATTTTAAAATGACAGGACTACCTTTTGACTTCTCACAGAGTGCTGCTATTAACAATATCGTCAATGCCACAGCATTGATAATAACTTTCATTACTTCCCAGTTATAGGAACCCAAACAATGAACTCCTAGTATTTTTCAGCCTGCACGTCAGTTGGTAATCATCAGAATATTTTTTATTTACCTTGTATGGATACTGCACCTTTTTACAGATTAAAATTACCAATTATACCCAAAATGGTAGATTAACATCCCTGTCAAGTTACAGGCAGTGTTTTGTGTTTGAAGTTTGAATACACCTCCATGATTAGACTAACAAGATGTGACCTCTGTGTTTTTCTTGGTGTGCTTACAGGGACTTGGATACTTGCCAGCCAGATTGATCCATGTTCTTAACCCATTTTGCAAATGCAATTATGGAGGCGCTTAGATGAAGTCAGTGCAAGAGAAAACAAAGATATTCATGGGCAGGATGAGTCTGTTTAGTACCACAGAAACTATTCCTTCATTTGCAAGGAGGCCCTTGAAAATTATTTTGTCACAGTAGCTTTTCCACATTGACAAGTTAGCTCCAAGGGTGCAGCTCTATACCAGCTGAGGCAAAGGATAAGCTTCAGTTGGCTTTAGCAGGAGCAAGGCTTAAGAGCATGTTTACATCCTGTGGGAAGACACCCACACTGCTTCTCCAGTGCTAAGCCCAGGAGAGTGAGCTCTTGTCAGAGCAGTGGGAAGAATATGTAAATAATGTAGCTAAGAATGTACCATATACTAGTATACTGAATATACTGCCAGTTTTATAGGTCTTGTCCAAATTCCTGGCTGCCTCTGGGCATAATCTACACAGAGACAGCTTAAGTGCTAATGAACTTGCACTCCTGGCACTGCCACGTGGGAAAGGTTAATAACTAATGGGACTGGCTTGACCATGCATGTTTGGGAAGCAGGGGTAGTGAGCAGAAAGTGGGCAGATGGCTTCTTTAAATACGATAATGTCTGTGGATAGGGTAGGAAAGGCAAAATAGCATTTTGGCAGAATTTTCTAGCTACTCTGCACAAGAGGGGACATGCAGATGTACTTGAAAGGAAGGTGGGCAACAGCTAATGAATATCTCACCTAGGTAGTGACTCAGTACTTAAACATAAGACCTACTGCCTTTTTACATGCCAAAAGATACCTGAGCCACCTAAAAGAGGTGTCCTGGCAGTTTAGACTCAAGACCTACAGGAGGCCTGTGCCCTTCTCGAATACCAGGCAGGCACCTAGGAGATACCAGAATAGACCAAACAGCTACGTTCAAGCACCTGATTCACCCTGTAATAACAAATTTCTTGCTGAAATCCCTCCCTCTCCACCATCTTCAGCACCAAGAAGCAAACAACATTGCCAGAAGGCCAAGACAAATAAAAATCCCAAGAGATGCATGGTTTGTTACCAGTCTATGGTAATCCTGCCTGAAACAAGGTAGTCAGATCTGGCATTGTAAGGCTTTTATGCCAGTTGTTGTGCTAATGAACCTATATTGTTTATGGGGTGACTGTTTTCTGCCTAATGTTGCTTTATAGAAGAGCATCCTTGGAATAACAGTGCGAATGTTAACTGATCGCAGCTTTTAGAGGGATTTTTTTAGCTGATTTGCCAAGTTAATTGGCCAATGTTCTTCTTACCTATACCAGGCAACCGTAATCTTGAGTTCGGAAGTGGTATAATCATATTTAGGAAACACAGGTTATTACCTGAAGCTTTGGTTCTGAGAAGGGATTGCTTCTGGACCCAACCATTAAGAATGATTAACCTGCTGCTGTGCTATCTGCAAGCTCAGGTCTCTGCTACCTTGGAGATTTCTCCATTGCTTGGCATACAAAATGAGTACTCTAGATCTATGGTCAGGCAGTAGTTATCCCCCGATGGCTTCATGAGGTCAGCTGCAGTCATTTATGTACAAGATCAGTATGTTACTGTTGAATACGTCCTTGGAGTTGCCAGAAGTCAGTCTAGGCCGTGCAGATGTCTGCCAGCTGCATGCATAAAGGCATTCTATGCTAGGCATTTGCAGTACAGAATGCCTGAAGATGGGAAGCGGCATGAAGGTTACATGCCTACACAGACATCAGCCAGTATGTTGTACAGAAGAAAGAATCAAAAACTTACAGCTGAAAACTTCTTTGTTTATTCAGTGTGTTATATACATGTGAAACTCATGAGCTCATTTCTTCATCCCCTTTTATCTGGGGCCACAAGAAGAACAAAAGTGCCTTTATTTCCCTCAGCTTATTTAAAACGTGCTCATCTGCATGAAAAGTATGGTTATAGTCAAACTTCACACTCAGGATAGCTGAACACAGAAATCAGGGAGAGAGATTTTTCCATGATGCACAACTGACCCAATGTTGGGTCAGTTTTAGGGAGCAGAGACAGTGTCTTCTTACAGAGTGCTGAAGACTGGCTGTAACTGAAGCGAGTTTCTGGGACAATGCAGAAAATAT